ATATATATATATATATATATATATATATATATATAATTAAGAAGTGTTTTTTTGGCTTATTCATCAACTGCAACGGTTCAGCGATGTGGTGGGTGGAGGTAAAGGGATGGTGGGTGGAGGTAAAGGGCAGTAGCAATAAACAGTAAATGCTCAGTTCCAACACCAAATGTATACCATTCCTCTTCACTTCCCTTCTTCTCCTTTCTGTTCTCATCGTAGGCGAAACAAAAGAAAGAAAAGAAATCTAATTTTTTAGAACCTTATTTTAATTTTTAAGTATTTTCATATTGAGAAGCATTGGAAAAAGGTTTAAAAAAAGCAAGTTAAAGTTGTTCAAAAAAAGTTTTTTTTGTTTTGAGAACGGTTGTTGTACTCGATCTGTTTATATTTATTCTGAAAATTGTTTTTTTTTTTCTGAAAAACAGCAACAACCAAATTTAGTTTTGAAAAAAGACAAAAAAAAAAAAGTTTCATAGAAAAATTTTACATGGGAAATTTCATTGAAGTATGTCAACTTTTTTTTCAAAATTTTTTTACTCATTATTGTTCGATGTTATTGACGGTATTGGTACTACTGTTTTTTTTGGTGATGACAATAGAGAGAGAGGAGATTGAGGAGAAGGATGAAATGAAAGACCATGACGATCATTGTCGTAGTTGTTCGGTGGTTTTTTCTGCTTTTTTTTTTTTACTGATTATGTTCAACTTTTTTCTCTTGTTTTGGTTGATATACATGTATTTTTGCTAAACAATATAATTTTTTTTTACAAATATTTCTTATTAAAATGGGAAAGCAGAAACAGGAGGAAAAGAAAGTAAGAAACATTTTTAGTGAGGCAAATGTTGTTATTTTTAATATTATTTTTTTGCAGCATTTTTTCCGTCTTAATTTCGCAAAAAAGCAAAAAAAATTTGTAATATTTATTTGTTAGGCATCCAAAATGTCCCTTTTTCCTCCTTCTGCTTGAAACTTTTTAATGATTATTAGTTTCGTTCCTGGTTTTGTCGTTGCTGTTTTTCGGTTGCTAAAATCTCATAAATTTCAATATTCTTCGTTTTCTGTTTTGAAGCAGTTTATACGTATATATTTGTTACTATTTGTTTTTGTTTTCATTTTTACAGAGGAAAAATTATTTGTTTATATAAATGTACAAAAATGTGACAGCGTTTATAAAAAAAATGTATTCTTTAGACATCTCTAACTGAAACTGTATAATTGTTAAAAAACTGCAAAAAGAATTTTTTTTATTTCAAAATGGGAAATACTGTTCAAATGGATCTATTCAGTTGATGACATGATGAAAAGTTTTGTGCGAATAATATGTGGATTTTTTTCTCATTTCAAGTCATTCATATATAGTTCATCATCGAACCGATTCTTCGTCACCTGCATATTTAAGTGGACTTTAATAGGAGCAATCATTTAATAACGGTAGTCCTTATGTGATGATGAACAAACACTGAACAGGAAGAGTTGGGAGGTTACAAAAATGTTTTCGTTTGTCTACTAGCATTTCAAACTTTGTCATCACCAACGTTTTTCCAGACATCTTTTGTCATTCAACCATCACTTACCTCTTTTCTTCTTCTTCTTCTTCTTGTTCTTCTAAGTTTTAACCCGGTTATAGCATTCTGCAATTGTTCAAATAGGTGTAAATTCAGTCGATGATCAACACTGAAAATTGTTCTATGATAATTGACTGGAAAAATATGTTTTTTTTTCTGTACTGTAACCATTACAGATTATTTTTGATGAAGCAAATCTGTTGCAGATTTTACCGGTAGCTCTATCCCAGGCGGAGCCAAGTCAACGGGTACAGCGTCGAGTTATTGCTGCAAAACTGGTTGAAAAGCTATGCTTATTATTAACGCCAATCGAGTAATTTTACTTTTTTTTTTGCCTACTTTTGCGTTGCATAGTTCTATTCCAGTGAATTTATTTACTACAATTTTTAACAAAAAAAATTTTTTTTTAGTTCAAATTTTGTTTCGCCCTTTTCTTCTCTTTTTTTTGGAAGATAATGCGAAAAACGGAAAGTGTTGTTTATTTGTCGTTATAATATCACTACTTCTGTCAGTTATTCACCACATTTGTGAAATACAGAGAGGCAGTATACCAAGAAGGAGGTTGATTTAAAAGAAGCAAATAGAAGGAAGGTATGGAAAGAAGAAATAGCTAAATTATTAGTTATCTGTTATTTTAAGCTGAGCACTCTGTTCAATGTTTCAAAATTGGTTGTGAATAGGGAGGATAGGGATTCTGCTAGTAAAAATTTTGATAATAATAATAGTAATAAGTGGTAATATTAGTAATAATAGTGCTTTAAAGTTGAAAATAATGATGATATAATAGAAGCATCGAATATTTGCCAGTTACTTGATGGAACAAAAAAGCCAAAACTTCCGATATTTGTTTTGATTATTACAGCAAATAAAGCACTAAATATTTAAGGATTATTATTGTTGTTCAATAACTAATTTACTGATGCAGTTTTGTTTTTACTGAAATTACTTGCCTTTCACCATCGTTGTCGTCATCTTATTTGGTGTGATCAACGCCTATGTATATCTCACTGCAGGGGGGTGACACCATATTTCAGAAAATAATCATACAACCTAGGGAAAGAGGGTAGGAGTGGCGGAGACAGAGGGGTAAGCAGAAAGATTTTAAGGAGAAGGGAGAAAGATTGAAGAAGAGGGGACGGATAAAAACTGAATGATTACTTTTATTTTATTTTATTTT